CAATCAAGATAAGCTCTCCCAAGATGGCGGCTCCTGGAACAGCTGAGTGTCTTGATCCAGAAAATAATGGATTTCTGGATTCTCCTTCAAATTCCCCAGCTATAAACCCTCTGATCCTCCAAACATACCTTTATATTTGTTCCAGAGTTCCAACACCATCTCATGAGCCCTCTTGACCTGGTATTCCATGTCTACCCGATCCGCCATCTTGAAGGTGGAAGGCCTGGTAGTGTAGTGGTTGAAAATCTGGCTGCAAACCCTGCGGTCAGGAGTTCGAATCCATCAGGCCCTCCGTGTGAGAGAGATGAGGTTTTCCGCTCCTTGCAGTTAAACAGCCTTGGAGTCTGGTAGTGTAGTGGTTACGAATCAGGCTATGAACCGCTAGGTCAGCAGTTCAAAACTATCAGCTGTTCTGTGGGAGAAAGATGAAGCTTTCTGCTCCCATAAAGATTTACAGCCTCGGAATCCCTATACAGGGTCGCTATGAGGCAGAACCAACTCCACAACACATAACAATAACAATGCACTCCCTGACATTTGGAATCTGAGGTAACAAGCTAGCCCTGATATTTGTGGAAATGTTCCTTTCTGGTTTTCTGAGACTGACCACTGTTACTCTCTGCTTTTGTTCCAAGAGTTCTTCGTCAGCCTGTGGGCAGGATTTACTTCGCAGGCACTGAGACTGCCACACATTGGAGTGGCTACATGGAAGGGGCTGTGGAGGCCGGGGAGAGAGCTGCTCGAGAGGTAAGGCTCAGGATCACAGGCTGTGGGGAAGGAGGCACTGCATAAGTCTGACAGGCTGGAGGTCAATTCCTCAAAAGTTTTCACCTGAAGATCCTTGCAGTTGTTGTTATTAGGTGCTATTGGGTCAATTCCAACCAACTCATAGTGACCATATGCACATCAGAACAAAACACTGTTCGGTCCTGTGCCATCCTCACAATTGTTGTGTTTGAGCCCAGAAGACCCGTGAGACACCAGTTTAACAGTAGTTTTGGGTGGTGTGAACACCGTAATCCGAAAGTAATGACTATAAATATCTAGCACTTCACCCAAGATAGAGAAAGACCCCAGTGGACAAACAATCAGCATGGCTATAATTGAGAGCTGAAAATAACCCCCCAAAACAAATCAAACCAATTACTATAGAGTTGACACTGACTCATGGCAACCCTACGTATGTCAGTTTAAAAACCTGCACCATGGGTTTTTTTTTTTTTTTTAATGTTTTATTGTGAATTATGTGGTAGTTTACATGAGAGAACATTAGCTTTACATCCATTCTGTTGTATATTGTTTCATTTCCATGGTTACAATCCCTTCCATGCATCATCAAGCAACCAAAGTGTATACCCTGCAAGCCTGCCCCACCCCCCCCACCCCCAGTCGTCAGCACGCATCCCCTCTTTCTCTCTGGGTCTAAAGTCTCCAGCCACTCCATCTCTCCATATCATCATCTCTGCCTCCATCTCTGGCATCACTGCTTCTCTGGGTAGGGTCCCGCTCTCAGCTCTTCTCCCTTGATGGTCCCAGGGACCTCCGCTCCTAGACTGCAAAGTTAATCACTCCAAAATGTCTACCTTTACATTTCCAATCCTCATAATCAGTCCTGATAACACTTTTTCACTACTGTATCACAAGGGACCTATCCACATTTCCTTTTATCAGTCCCTTCTAGACAGATTGGATACTACTCAATGGAGGTTTTACCTTCCTCCATGCCCTCTGGATCTAGGTTCCTTCTTGAAAGCTTGTAAGCCAGTCACTTCTTGCCTTTGTAGCCCCCCATTTTGGGTAGCCAATGTCCAAGTTGCCCATCCCTGTCTACCCTGTGTATGGAGGGGATGGGAATGATCCTCACTGTAACCATAGGCTTTTTAATGACTGGGTTTTCAGAAGTAGATCATCAGGCTTTACTTCTGAGTAGCCTTTGGATGGACCTAAACTGCCAAACTGTTTGTACCACTAAGCACTGGACCAACAGGGTGATTTGAACTGCAAGATCGGTGGTGTCAAAGTCACCAGCTGCTCCTTGGAAACCCTATACAGGGTCGCTATGAGATGACTCTGACTGGATGGCACTTAACAAAACAAAACAAATGTTATTTATTAGGACTCTATTTATATATTTACCAACAGTTCCTCTGATCTCATCCCTACTAAGATGTGTAGAAAACACTTAATATTTACAGTGAGCCTAGTGACTGAAACCTATTATACTATAAATAAAAGACCTTTAGGATTTTTTCAAAGGTTGGGTCAACTGTTTGGGCTTTTGTCCTTGTTTATTTTGATGAATATCACCCAAAGACATTCAGTTCTTTATTTAAAGAACAGATCGTGAAAAAAATGGTGTTACTTTTGCTATTTGCCAAGATGTTCTTTTATTTCAGATCCTGCATGCCATGGGGAAGATTCCAGAGGATGAAATCTGGCAATCAGAACCAGAGTCTATGGTAAATTACATTTTATTTCATGCATTTAAATCTCTTTCCTCTAAAGGCAATTAATAGCAAAAAGAACACATGTGTATACAATCATGTACCTTTTCCTAAGTGACTCAACCAGTCGATGCTTAAGGAAGTGCCATTGGTTAGAGTAGGGCTGAGGAAAATTTAGAAGAACTTTGATAATTTCAAGGAGCACTGGTGACAGTGGGCTAAGCATTCAACTGCTAACTAAATCCACCAGTAGCTCATTAAAAGAAAGATGAGGCAGTCTGTTTCCTTAAAGATTTACAACCTCAGAAACCCTATGGAGCAACTCTACTCTGTTGTAGAGTTGACTCAATGGTAGTAGATTTAATAAATGCAAGAGTTAGCATATCCATTTCAGATTATTAAGGGAAATTAAGATTTTTTTGGTGAAGATGATTTCTGTCAGAAAGCTCTACAAGTGTACGTATTAGGAATGCGCTAAATACATTCCTGTTGAATAAATCTCTAACTTAGTGACTCTCAATAGGGACTAGGAAGTGAAAGGACTGATGTCAGTATCTCCTGCCTGGGGGGCAAAGGGGTGGAGTGAAATGGGGTATATTTAGATTTAAAACACATGTTCAATATACCTATCATTGAAATAAAACCCCAGGAAATCTTCCTGGCTGAAAGAGTGGATACATAGGACACAGGGTGAAACATCATCCATGACAAGGGTCAAAAGGGTTAAACATGTTCCTCTATCCTTTTAAATGCAAAGTCATTCTCTTAGTACTTCTGGATGATATGTACTTGCAGGCTGGGTGCATATACTCAACAAATATTTATTAAACACCTACTCTAACTATATTGGAAAGATATAGTGATGTTTTATAGAGTTTAGTGTCTGACGAGGGAGTAAATTTGATAACCAAAAAGTACAAGTAAGATGAAGAAAACATGCTGCAGAAGAATGTAAAAGAGGGAGCCACCCTAAGGAAATGAAGTTGAAATTTAGACTTAAAGGATGAGTCTAGATTAATCAAGTCAGTTCAAGTCAAGTTCAGTAGGGAATAGGGAATCAATGTAATGACGGTTATGTGCAATAGCTGAGAGGTTGGCAAGGATGGAGAACTGTGGGAAAGAGACTTTGTGAAGCAAAGTGCATAAGCCCTGTACTAATAATGTCAAATGTTCTCTGAACCTAGGATGTGCCTGCACGGCCTATTACAACAACCTTCTTGGAGAGAAATCTTCCCTCTGTGCCAGGTCTGCTGAGACTGATTGGATTGACCACTATCTGTTCCGCAACTGCGCTTTGCTTTCTGGCACACAGGAAGGGGCTACTTGTACGGGTCTGAAGAGGGAATCTCTGTAACCACACACTTTTCTTAAACTCTTTAGTGTGTGGTATTGGGGAAAGTAGCATGAAAATAAGTCAGACTTCTGACCCCAGGAAATACATAATCTCTCTTTCTCCATTTTGATCCCTGGTGATCGTCCTTTGCTCTGTCTCACCCATTTTCAACTTTACTCAAATCCTATGGCCCATGGGTTGGTTCCAATTCACAGCGACCCTATAGGACAGAGTAGAATTTTCCACAGGGTTTCCAAGTCTGCAATTCTTCATGGAAGCAGACTTCTCCCGTAGAGAGGCTGCTGCATTTGAACTGCAGACCTTTTGGTTAGCAGCCATGTGCTTCAACCACTGCATCATCAGGGCTCCATATCTCCAAATTTACTGTCCCTCAAATCATTAATTGAACAAGCTTGTTTAATGTCATTGCGGTTCATAACACACTTTGTCCCATGCAGAAACAACTAGCTTTTTCCCACCTCTGGCTTTGTGCTTATTGTTTTTCTTACCAGTAATATCATCAATTTCCCAAGTCCTCTGCATTTGTCCTTAGAATTTTGAATAGTGGTGACTGGGAGACCTTAAATGCCATCTAGTTCATTTAAGAGTTGAGTGAGTTGAGTAAGCTGAAAGCAAGAGAGGTAGAACTTATTTGGCTAAGAGCCACAATAACCCACTCATCTTCTTGGGATTAGAACACTGATCCATTGCTTTTCCCACCTCCTAGGATTTATTCATGAGTCATCCTCCTCTACTTTGTGTCACAGTTGCTGATTGTATGGGTGTGCTCCATAATAAATTGTTTTGCACTACTTAAATGCTATTTAGTATATATCCTTAAGGTTTGCTATCTTATGCAGTGTGTCTCTAACTGATTTTTTAAAATTGTTTTGTGAGGCTTGAAGTCTTGTCTGTTCTTTCTTCCATATCCTCTATTGTATCTTGATACAAGGTCATTGCACAATAAGTAATGAAAAATAAAGTTGATTAACCAGATATCTGCTGTCTTTTCTTTTTGGTTAATGACTTCAAGGTTTTGTCAGATCAAATAAAGATATATAAGTTAGGAGGCGGGGCTTAATGCTGGATAGGGTAGAGGTGCAGTGAAGTTCTGCATCAGCAATACCACAGAATACCAGGCAAAGCAGGCTCAGGGAGAGCTCCAAAACTCTGAACCACATATGTAGGAATATTTTAAAAGTTTAAAGGTTTATAGCTCGTGGAACTTGTAGCAGAAGCAAGAAATCTTGTTCTTTCGAACCTGCCAGGCTCAGCAGCCCAGTGCCGACAACTTGGGCAAGACCAAACATCAAGACCAAGCGGGGGAGCAAGCAGACCCTTCTTGACTAACACTGTGGGAACATTGGAGAAAAAGGTTGACAATATTTTTTGTTTTGTTTTGTTCTAATTATTTTGGTATCTCTTCATTGGCCTCTCACTGCGCACCTCCATTCTGGTGACTAGAGGGGGTGCCTGAGTGAGTAGACACCCACCACCCCCACCACTGGAGGGCTCTTCTACCACACATGTGCACAGATCCTTTCAGCATTTAAAGGGACTGTGCCTACTTAAAACCAACCAGTAGTGCAAAATGACCACAACTGGCCCTGACTGTTTATTAATAGGGAAAAGGCCAGAACAGGGCTTGTGGAGTAGGAGAGAGACTAAAACCAAAATGGGCCTAAAATTAAATCCTGAGGCACAGCATAATAACAAATAGTGGCATCTTTAAATTTATTGGGCATCCTTGAAGGCAAGAAGCTGAAAGACGATATTAAAGTCATACTCATATTAGGCTAAATAATTTTCTCTTTCTTTCTTTCTTCTTTTCTCTCTCCACTCTCTTTTCTGCGATTATGAACTACAGTATGCAATCTGGTGGGGTTTTTTTGTTTTGTTTTTGCTGTTGCTATTTTGGTCTTTCCCCC